CTCATTAGAAGTGGCCAGGGACAGGTTCCAGAATGGGAGTAGCCTCTAGTCTATAATTGGATTGACAAGCACGTTAATCCTAAAGTGTCTATTTATCATCTTTCTTTTTAATGCCCTCTGTTTAAGAAAACGCATTGGAAAACATTGCATACAGTAAGAACTGTGTGGTTAGTAATTGCTGATCAGGCACGCTCTGTAAGACCCTCTGCTAGGCACTGAAAATATATAAAGATAAAGAAAGCCCAGTCCTTTCTCTCAAGGAGCTTGTTGTCTCTTGGGACAGAGATGTTCAAACAGAGAGTTCAGGTACAGAGGAGACACTCTAAACACATCTGAGGGGCACTGAGTGTTATGTGTTGGGCTGGGAAGAGTGAATGGTGTGTGTATGTGACATCATAGGAAAAGCTGCAGAAGGAGGGGCCATCTCTGTCAGAGGCCATTAGGGGAGGGAAGGGGAGAATGTTCCAGAGCCAGGGAATGAAGGCAGGAAAGGATGTGGTCAAGCAATACCAAGTCAGAGGGTTGGGCCTAATGGTGGAATCTGTGGAAGGACTTCCTGCAGTGATGTCAGTTCTTCCCCAAGCCTCCCACCTCCTCACCCCGTATTCTTCCATGAACCTTCCCTGAGGCTGCACACAGCACTCACCTGGCTGTCCCCACTCTGGGCCTTCTCATGCACCTTGGGTACCAGGGAAGCGTTAAACCATTAGCCCTTCCTCAGCCCTCCTGTCTCCACCAATTTTCTGGATGACTCCTTTAACATCATTTAGTGTGTGAAAGATGCTGCCTCCCCCTTCTCTCCCCCAGTGGCCTTGAGGTCACCCACAAACAGGATTCTCTGGGCCTTTCAATAGACTGGAAAACAGGCTGGCATCTTAAATGACAGAATGAGGAGTCCGTCCATTATTTGTCAAGAAGTGGGGACCCAGAGGTTGTCATATGAAGAAGCCATGAGACTGGATAAGGTCCGTGGGGGAAGAGATGAGCCCAGAGCTTTGGGCCACACAGATTTTCACAGGGCAGAAAGGAAGGTCCCATTGGTGAGCTGCCAACTCTATCTTCCAGTTTCCATCTCCACAACATTGTGCCTTTGGGTGTGCCAGCTGATAAGGAGGAGTCTTGTTACAAAACCTTCGGGAAGACCTGTTCAGTAAAATGGCTTAGACACTTAGAAGCATCTCTTACTCATTCTGCCGTCCTCAGGGCGTCCTATAATTAACTCATTAACCTAGTTCTCATTTTACAGCCTCGGAAAGATAAGCTCCTCCGCTAGTCGAGGGTGCCGATTTTAGTTCCTGTCTGTTGGGACGGAACATTTGTGCCAGGGCAGCCAAAACCCATCCTCAGGATCAGGTGGGAGCTTTGTGCTTCCAAAGAAATGCACAGAGATAATGGGAACCGTGGGGCTGACTCTCATTGGCCACCTTCTTGGTCTCTTTCTGCTAAAGACAGCACTTTCCTTAGCCTGCCTGGAATCTTAGCCATGCTTTCTTTCTATCAGTCCAGCCATCTCTGGCCCCACGAGGAAGTTTACCCATGACTGCGCCAGGGTCACGTCCGCAGACCATCAGTGGAGGCTGTCTCCTCCTGCCCCCCACCCCCACCCCCCAGGATCTTTCTACACTGACAAGCTTGGAGACATCTGAATTGCCATCTTGTTGATTTATCCACCAATCACCATCTAACAGGCAGGGGTACGGGCAGCCACCATTCCATAATCTTATGTCCCTGTACCATTTATTTGGCACCTATAGTATTCACTGAGGAAAGACAAAGATGATTAATGCATGGACCGTGTCTTTGGGGGATTTTAAGATCGAGCAGGGCAGAACACATGCACACACATGCACCTGCTGTCTGGTAACTCATCAGATGAGATAGTATGTACAAAGTGCTTTTCAAACCTTAGATCTCTATAAATGCCAGCTGTCATCCTCACTGCTACTAAAGTACATGGAAAACACAGCGAGAGTTCCAGGGGCTGCGCAGAGTGGGAAGAAGGAGAGGTCTTTCCACAGAATCGTGGATTTGGACTGAGGCAATCTTAGAGCTCCTAGGACCCTTCCTCTAGAGCTGGGGGGCTGGGGAAGGGTGTCACAGAGGTACCAGTCAAGATGCTGCAAGAGGAGCAAGGGAGGGGCATCAGTGGAGGCTCCCTGGAGGAGGAAGCCTGTGTTCTCTCTCTCCTGTTCCTCTGAACACCATAGGCAGAGGCTGGCTCTGATCTCCTCCTTGTATGTTCCCCCAGAGATACCTCTCCACATGAGATACCTCGTGAATGCTGGTTGCATTCATACATTTGAGTTGGGCTTTCAAGGAAGGTGGTGGTTTTCTATTGCGCACAGGGTAGGACTCGCTCAATTCAGTGCAGAAGTGACTCATTCTTTGCTCAGGGGTGGCCCACTCCTTGTCCTAGCAGAGCTTGGAGCTCAGGGGTCAGCCGGTGCAGGGTCCACCATCACAGGGAAATGGGGCAGTAGCTGCTCCTGAAACCAAGGAGCAAAGAGGATCTAGAGGTCCTAGAAGACCCCCATCCCTCCTGCTTGGCCTGGGGAACGGGGGTCTTTGGCTCTGCTCCAACCTTGTTTTTTTTTTTTTTTGCCTGGGGTTCAGCAGAGAAGTGCAGTGCCTCCCTTACTCTGCTCTCTGCTAGAGGATGAAGGATCATAGTTCAAGAGAGACCATTACTCTACCTCTCCTCTGTCTTTCCTCACTCCACAGGAGCAGCTAGGGGGCGCCATAGTGCACAGAGTCAGAAAGACTCATCTTCCTGAATTAAGATCTAGCCTCAGACCCTTACTAGCTAGGTGACCCTGGGCAAGTCATTTCACCCCATTTGCCTCAGTGTCCTCATCTGTAAAATGAGTTGGAAAAGGAAATGGTGAACCGCTCCAGCATCTTTGCCAAGAGAACCCCCACTGAGGTCATGAAGAGTTGGATGCCACTGAAACGATTGAGCAAGCCATCATAAGTGGGCTCTCTTCAAACATCCACCCCACCATGCACACTGCATGATGACTGTCCTGGCTGGACTCGGGGAGTTTGATCCCATGACCCAGCTAGAGGATGCTGCCCTGACGTGGAACCACAAGATTGGAGCGTGCGTCCAGTCCATCCCCCAAGGGATCCCTGCCAGCATCTCCAGCCTCTGCCAGGGGACCTGTGGAAGGAGGACATCCACAGTCAGGCAGCGGGGCCTGCCTTTGCCTGTCTGCCTCCCCAGGCTTGGGCTCCCATGAGTCCCTCGATGCCTGCTCTGTGGGAACCCCCGGGGAGAACGCAAGTTCTTTGAGAGCCCAGATGGCTGCATTTTCCTCCTCACTGTCCGCAGTGGCTGGTACAGTTCTTTGCACATATGAGGCCTGAGGTTTGTCGAATTGAACGGAGCCTGAGAGACACGTCAGGTGTTTGGAAAAAATGGAGGTGATGCTGCCTCCAGCCCGGCTCATTCTTGGAGAAGCCATCCTGGCTATGTGGGGTCCCTGATTCCTGCGCTTCTCCCTAGGATGCAGGAATTCCCACACTCTGTCACATGAGTGCTTTAGACTGGATGGCTTCTGAGGTCTAGACTGAGGGTCCTGTAACCATCCACCTCCATCCCTGGCTGGAGGATGGGCTGCGTGCTGTGGCACTTCTCTGGGCCAGGCTCCCTTCTCCCAGGACTGAGTCACAGGGAGCACAGCTCGCTTCAGGGACATGGCAACTCATCTAGGCAGCTTCCAGGTCAGCAGGGAGTCTGGGAACCTTGCCATCTCAGCCAGTGTTCTCATTGGGCAGATGAGGGAAGGGAGGGGGCCACTGGAAAGTGACATGGCTGTGTGGGGGCAGAAGCAGCAGCAGGAGCTCCCCATCTGGCCTTGCCGCGGGGCCTTCTCCCATCTCTGCACACCTTTGTCTGGCACCCCAGGTGGGTGCCTCACTGACAGCCCCGGTGATACCATGTGTCCTGAGGGAGGAGTGCCCTGCCCTGCTTCTGCCCTTCTGGCTCTCCAGCACCTTTTTGATCTTGCCTGGGTTTGCTAAGTCAGAACCTCAGGCTTTTAGAGTAAGGAATGAAGGGAAAGAAGAAAGGCTCAGTTGAGCTCTGTGCCGGGCACGGTGTGCACATTTTACAGATATTACCTCATTTGAACCTCAACAACCCTGGCAGGTGGGTGCTGTTATTATCCCCATTTTACAGTTGAGGAAACTGAGGCAGACAGGGTGAAGTGACTTGTCCGAGGTCCCATAGTTGATTTCTAAGTGTCTGAGAATGGATTAGAATTCAGGTCTTCCTAATTCTGGGCCCAGCAATCTGTGCACTGTGGCACCCCCAGCTGCCTGACTGAGGAGAAGACCCTGCTCCAGACTACAGACTCAGCTACCCACCATGGGCTGTCCAGCATCTCAGATGTATCCCCTGACATGCAGCCTGTTATACCAGGAGGTTCCCGGGGCCCTGAGACCAGGACATGCAGGGAGAGCCTGAGAGGGGCTCGTTGGCTGGGCCCACCCAGTGTGTGAAGGTGGATGAGGCAGCAGACAGCCGGTACCTAGAGCAGGCTGGCGAGGAGGAAGCCAGGCAGAGAGTGCAAATGGGACCTTTGAGAGCGGGATATGGTGGCCTCTTTATGGGGGGTGGGCTCCAAGGCTCCTGCTCAACGCTGGTGCCAGGGAGCAGAGCTCGGGGCCCGTGGTCATTCACGTTCCTCCTCCGTCTGCCCGTGTTCTTCCTGCCTTGTCCTCAGAAACATGCATGCACGATTCTTAAGACTCTGTGATTCTGCTCCTGGGCTGTGCATCTGGACAGGATGGGAGGAGGGCAGCTGGGGAGGGCAAGGGGCATGGCTGGTCCAGCTGCATCTCAGAGCAGGTGGGAGGTCCCTGGAGGCTTGCGTGTCAACTTTCTGTGTGCACAGAGCACGTGGGGTCGGGAGGACAGTTTTCCATCAGGAGTTCCTCGATGCCCAGATTAATTAATCTTTTCCCAGCTCACAAGAGCTTTCTCTCACTTGTTTCAGGAATCAGCAACGCTGAAGCTCGACAGCCAGGGAAAGCCCCAAACTTCAGTGTCAACTGGACGGTCGGGGACCCCAACCTGGAGATCATTAACGCCACCACCGGCAAGGATGAGATGGGCCGCGCGTCTCGACTCTGCAAACAAGCACTTTACAGTCGCTGGCTACGCATCCACGCCAAGGTACGTGCAGCCCACTTCACACTCTGAACGGACTCCTTCTGGGCAGAGGCCTGGGGCCGCTCAGTCCCTGCTGCCACTGCCGAGGACCTGGGCCTCTAGCCACCCCCATAGCTGCCACTAGTGTTTAATGGCATCCAGATTCAAAGCTGTCTCGTGAACGCTGAGCTAGCGTGGCCACCTCCCAGATAAAGGGAGGCAAGAATGAAACAGAAGCAGAGATGCATCCTGACACCTGCTACAGTAGCAGGAATGTTTCATGTCTAGAGTGGCCATACAAAGATGCCTGTGCTCTGTTTGGCTTCCTCCTCTTTGGATTTTAGACCAAAAGTTCTGAGTTTAGTCCCAAAGGCTCTGAGCCCCCGTTACCCATTCCTGGCCACGTTGTGGTGCAGGCAAGATTCAGGCAATTGGCCATGAGAAGGCAGGTTCTATTCTCACATCTGTGGATAGAAGGTGGAGAACGAGCCAACCTCTCCTTGGGACTTCTTCCCATGCATAGAGCCAGCAAAGGCCCTTGATCCCCCCTCTCAGCCACGTTTGCTCCAACCTCCTGTATCCAGATGCTCAGAGTGCCTTCTCCCCCTTCTCAGGGGCTCCTTCCTTTCGGGCAGATTCCTTAGGAAGGGCCCTCTTTCTCACACTGGCTTTGATTGATTCCAGGAGGTGGACACGCCCTGTTCATACTCAGTTCCTTTTTTGATTCCATCAAAAAGTGTTCTTGTCTAACAAAGGTGAATACTTTTAAGTGGGTGGGGTAATCATGGGGGGGGTCCGTGGGGTAGAACAGGTAGGACCCAGGGACCTCACCTGTCCTGGTGCAGGAGAGCTTTTCTCTCAGAGGATGCTTCCCCCTCCTCTCTTCAGCCCTCACTCATGACTGACAGCCGTTCCTTCCCTTCTAGCTCTCCTCCAATATGCGCACCAAGATTGGCAAGCCCCACCTATACCATGAGTGCAAGCAAGGCGCCGTGGAGTACCAGTCTGCCAAAGAGTCGCTCTTCAGGGCTTTCCTCAAAGCGGGCCTCGGAGCCTGGGTGGAGAAGCCCATCGAGCAGGATCAGTTCTCTCTCAACTGCACACCCTGACCTGAGGGATGGCACCTGGACACCCGGTCATCGCCTGGAGCCTCTGCCACCATGAGCCCTCCTGCGCGTGCACACACCCTCCCACAACCCCCCCTACACACCTGCACACAACCGTGTACACATACAAGCTCCCACAACGGACATGTGCGCATACATGCTCACACAACTGCACACACATGCACCCACACGTTCAGACAACCATACACACACACACACACGTGCGCGCGCATGCACGCATATACCCTTTTTAGGATTAACCAGCAAATGCTTTCATTCCCTTTTCGTGTTTTGAAAATCTGATTGTTAGGTTGTTTCGTTTTATGTTTGAAAACTTGGGTGTAATTCTCCAGCAAATCCATCCATCTTAGAAAGGCTACAGTGCAGACTGGGTCTAACTTTTACATCTCCACTTGAGTCAGACCCTGTCCTGGGTTTGCCCCAGCCTCCGGCACTCCCTTTCCCCATATAAGGCAATATAGGTAGGTGCACCTCAATGCACACACTAGCATTGGGGTTTTCACAGCATTTTTAGGATGTGTTTTGAATTTTTCTAGAACTCAGCTATAAAATCCGTTTCTGCTCCTTCGTAAGCTTTTTGTGAATGAGAGAGGATGTGCGTGATGAGGCAACGAAGCCAGAAGGATTAACTGTGGAAAGCCTGCTTGTCCCTACCTCCTGGTCCTTTAAAAAACCAGCTGCCGAAAAATGGTCGGTCGTCAATGCGTGTATTTATTAGTCTGTGACCCAGTTCCGAGTACCTGACCTTACCTCCCATTTCCACATGGTGTAAAGTCTTCATTTTCTTTTTTTGCCATTATCAACTGGAAGCCAAGTAGAGGTCATTTGTAAGTTCCACAATTAGGTCTGTATAACACAGAAGAAGTTGACTCTTAGTAGCTGATTTCTCCTCCGCCCCCTTCTCTCTATAGTTTCATATATATATATATATATATATATATGTATATATATATGTATATATATATATGTATATATATATATATATATACATATACACACACACACACACATACATACATACACACAGACACATATATCTACACATACCCAGGAATTCAGAGTACAATCACAGCTTTAGCATTACTAGGGCGCCTTGAAGAACCAGTGTGATTCATTAGGAATGTTGGAATGCCAGCACAACGTTGGAATGCCAGCCCTGCTGCCTCTCCTCCTTCCCGTGTCAGTGGGAGGGCCCTTCGGGAAGCTCTGCTTTGCAAACCTTCATGCCAGGATTCCTCCCTGATCTATTCATGTTCATCCTTCATTTGACCCCTGGGTCCTACGGGAGTCGGGGGGTCCTGGGGGAGATTTGGGGGCTGGGCCAGGTGATGTTTGCTCAGAGCGCTGTTATTGTGAGATGGTCCTGGCTTTCTTTCTAGGCTTTCCCATCCATGTCTGCAGATGGAGCCAGCCCATGAATGATCTGTGTTGAGGAAGGGAGATCAGAGGCTGCTTCTGCCCGTCGGACCTTTGGGTAGAAAGGGCAGAACAGACTGGTTTGAACCAGGGCTCCCTTCCACGTGCCTCACCAAGGATGGCTTTCCAGGCCTTTGGGAGGAGGTGCCTCTCCCCTAAGTGGAAGTCTCAGAGGAGGGGAAAGGCCTCATTTGCCTGATGTAGCAGTGGTGTCCCATGGTTCGGTTGGCCACGAAGCAGGGCCTGCAGCAAGGAAGGGTCACCATCGCTGCTTCCCAGACACGTTGACTATTCAACTCCGGAGCAGCAACTACCTCAGCCTGGGCCACTCCCTTTGGCCAGAAATGGTGAGAAGAAGGCAAGAAAGCGGCGAGGTACATACATGCTCTGTGTCAGGACAGTTATTCAGCTTCAGGTCCTCTCAGAAGGAAGGAAACTAGGCTTCCAAATAGGAGAAAAAGGAGCTTGGGCAACTGTGAACCATATTTGTTAAAGGGCCCTGAGTAGGTGCAACATGAAGAGTGAGGATGAGGATTTCTGGGAAAAAGAGACCGCATCCACTCACAGGTGGGGACTAGTTCACCTTGAAATCCAGGTTTTGTGTGAGAGGAAATGGCAGAAATCTGCATTGTTTTTAAGGGAATTTTTTTTCCCTTAAAGGAGGAATGGTAACTTCTATAATTTTTTCAAATTATTTTTTAAGAATTTATTTTTAAAAAAAGTTTATTTCAGAATCTGAGCTCTTAGGAATAGGGCCTTTTAAAAGTCCCTGACGTGGTGAAAAGAACGGGAGCGATTTTGCACAAAAATCTTGAATGGTTCATGTTCCAGGGTGAGGGGCCAGGCGAGGGAGGGCATCTTCAGGGATCTATTCATCATCATCATGTCTGATCAGTTTTCTGGCCTGTAACTTTGGTGGGCAAGGAGGCATCTGTGTTTGTGGAAGTGGAGGAGAAGGAGGAGCAGGTGAGGGTGCCCAGGGTTGCCTGGGATTCCCTCTGACACCAAAAAGGTTTGCTGTGCTCTGGTAGAAAAGACTGGCTGTCTGTATTCCTCAGCTTTCTCCCCAGCATCAGTGCTGTCTCTGGTCAAGTCGAGAGCTCAGATGCTGCGTTGACCAAACTTGGGATCTCCCCCTGCTTTTGCTGCTGTCTCTTTCATGTCCCTCTTTGGTTAATATGGCAGCGTCATGGAAAGCCTTTAATTGCTTTAATTTTGAACAATCAAAGATGAAAATATGCACATTAAGGGCCACAAAAGTGTGGGGCTCCCCTGTTCTTGTTAGGTCAGGCTGCGCACCTCTGAGGATCCTTGTGCCTCGGTTGTTACTGAACAGCAGTAATGGGTGGGGGCAGCTCCCAGGCTGGCCTTGGACTTTCCTTCCTCCCTAATCCCCCTCCTTATTTTCATTCTAATGAGTGAATATGAATGTTTGCCTCAGGATCATCACAAAACTGAAAGAAAATGAATCAAGCAGATGTAAATACTTGAAAAATATAGCAAGGTTTTCTTCAATTCTAGCTTTATCAAAGACATGTTTAACAAATTGAAATGATTCGGCCTGGAAGGCTATACAAAAACATTGTATAGGGGTGGGTCGGGCCCCGTGCAGATGAGCCCGGAAGACTCTCGGTAGTTGCCTTGTTACCACACTCAGGATTAGTGAAGGGCTCCTCGTGAAGTTGTCCTGCCCTTTGCCACTGAAGCACACATTTTCTGGCTGAGAAGCGGGTTTCCACAGCCCCCTCCCCCCAAGCATTGGTCACTTACTAGTAGGGCTCATGAGGACAGCTGGGTGGTGCTGCCAAGGTAGGACCTCCAGCTGTTGTCCTAGGGGACATTTTTTCATCTCTCTCATGGTTGGAAAAAACCAGAACATGTCAAGGATGAATACAATACCCATCCTCATATCTAGTGTCAAAACTCACCACTGTCTGTGTTAGGTGGCTGCTGAATCGCTGGAGGCCAGTCCTCCATGGCTCTGCCCTAAAGGAGACCTGGCACTGACTGCTGGGGGTGAACAGAGCACATCCCTGCCACCCCCATGAGAGCCCATGCTGGGGAGGAAGCTGGGCGCCTGACCGGCGTGTGCACATCGATAGAGGCTTGACTCATGTCCACCGTGACCAAGAAGTGGTCTCTGCTTTACAAAAGACCCAGCTCTTGAAGACTCTCCAACACGCCCATCACCCCATCACGCAATCCAAATAGAGCCTCTTTGGCTGTTTTGTTAAAGTCAAGCTGAAGGGTTAGGATCTTTGCCTCCCTAGAAGCTGACAGGTGTCTGAGTGGCGTCACTGCCTCGGAAGGAGGCGACTCTTGCACTGAAGAATACCCTGTGTGCTGTTGCATTTTTATTGTTGTCGATACAGAAGATGTTGTATTTTTTCTAAGGGGGTGGGGAGAGCTTGTAATTCAAATCATGCTATTTTTAAGAAATTGTCTATTGAAGCGCTGCTCTAGAAATATAGGAGTGAGTGGTCCCGCTTTGTCTAGCACGTCCCGGCTGTGTGTTAAGAATCCCTGCTTCTCCTCTCCTGCTGCTGTGCCCCAGGGTGGTATGGCCATGTCCTCTGAGTGGGGACAGAACTCTCCAAGCTTTGCCGTCCCGCTTACTGGGCGTCTTTGGTTCCCAGGATGGAGAAGGCTGACCCTGCAGGTGCTGTCCTCCGGAAATCCAGGCTTTGGGAGCTACCCGCAGTCTGTAATCAAGGGCTTCCCTCATAAGGAAGGCATCCCCTTCTACATGTGGGTACCCTGCATGGCCCAAAATCTGGACTGAACTCCACAAGGGTAGGTGCTGCCTTGTGGGATTCCCATGACCCTTTGAGGGTTACCATGAATGATGGGGTGAACAGGACAGCTGCTTGCAGGTCTGTGGGGGTGGAAGGGGCCAAGGACTCCTGACCTCATGCCAGAACAAGAGGGTATCTTTGCCCACAGCCCCCTAGGATGCCTGGGCATGACCTGAAACCTCCCTTTATCAATGTTGTAGCCTGGGCCATTGGAAATCTGAGTTGTTCACCCAAAGATTCAAATAGTTTAAGAAAAAGAGGCCTCAAATGGCTTCAAGTAGCAAATGGGGCAAGGTAGACTTGTGCCTCCAAACATCGTGGGAGTCTGCCATGGCTGCCTACCATGATTTTGTGTCCTTTCAATGATATGGGTTTAATAGCAACCATCCTTGTCCCCAGAGGAGGTCTCCCTGGAAGATGGGACAGAACAGAGAACTGTTTGCTCCAAGGACACTCTCCTGGCTCTGGAAGGAGCTTTCTTGCCATCACCCTTCAGCCACCATAGATTGGCTGGTATGGCACCAGGGCTCTAGTCACCTGATGGAATGGATGGCTAAGTCCTGTCCCTTCCTGGCCCCTTGAGCTTCAGCTGGGACCCTGCCAGAGGATGAGGTAGTGGGTGCACCTTTGATGGGGGAGTTTTGTCATGTGCTGGAAAATCTCCCACCCCACCCTGCCCCCCAGTTTGGTGCCCAGGGAGCTAATCTCCAGGTGATGCTGTCATCCTCATCAGTTGAAGCAATGTGGCACCCCTACCCAGATGGTGTCTATCTTGGGGTTCCTCACTGTTCATGTCCTAGAGTTTTCAGGAATGGCCCTCAAAGTAACCCGCAGCTGCTCCAACAAACATTTGGAAAATATTCTGCCTTTGTATCCTCAGTGCTTTGCATACAGCAGGTGCTTAATAAATACTTGTATTGAATTGGTTTGGTTAGGATTTCACCTTAGAGGTAGCTGGTCTTCAGAGTGTGCCTGGCACTATGGAGATGGTGCTTTAAGGGTGCCAGGTGGACAGGTGGACTGCTGGACAATGAAAGGCATCATTTAATCTCTGCCTCATTCTCCCCCCACCCCTGCCACTGGCTCCACCTAATCATTTCAGCTGCTAGAATAGTCTGTACCCAGTGTCTAGGAGTATTTCACAGTCACCTTAGAAACATGGCTAGGTCCTTTTCAAGTATTAAAATGAAGTCACTGCATAGGAAAGGTTAATGAAGTTAGTCTGCCTTCATCATCCTTAAATTCTGGGAAATGATAGTGCTAATTTGGGGGAGGGTGTTTCAGGTCAAACCCAAACTAAGTGGGGATGGCAGAGGCAAGAAGCCCTGGGAGCCTCTCAGTCTTGGTAAGTCT